ACAAACAAACAAACAAACAAAACAAATGGCTATCCAAGACTTCCAGTGTTGGGGCATTCACAACTTCTGGAGGCAAGTTGTTCCACTGATTAATTGTTCTAACTGTCAAGAAATTTCTCCTCAATTCTAAGTTGCTTCTCTCCTTGATTAGTTTCCACCCATTGCTTCTTGTTCTACCCTCAGGTGCCCTGGAGAATAGACTCCCTCTTCTTTGTGGCAACCCCTGAGATCTTTTCTTAAGTCACAGATCAACAAAAAGGCAAACTTACTGTTTTCTTGAACTCTGGCCACAAATCCCATTAATGGTAACTGAGGAGTTACTTGTAGGATGGAGGGAGGAGGTGGTGCAAGAGACACTGCAGTGAAGAAGTACAAAGAAATAGAACTCCAATCAGAAATATAGTATAGAGACATGAAATAACTGGATAGACAATGTGGCATCCTACTAAATGCAATGGAGTGACTGGATAATTAAAAACTAGATAATATTAGTTATGCAGAACTTTGAAAATGGATAACCAGCTTTTTTAAGATTTTAAAGTTCTGGGAAACATTTACAATATCAAAAGAATAATATTCCTGAAACAGCCTCATTCAAATCATACTTATTTTATAATAGCTAATAAAAAGTCATACAATATTATTGTGGCAAATAGAAATATTGCTACACTATTAATGCTGCTAAGAGAAAATTTATTCTTCCATATTTATCAATTTGATATAAATATCAACTGTTGATCCATTTCTGCTTAATCAAAATTAATTTAGGGCTGAGGATTTAACTGCATTTAAAGAATGTCACTATGTGGCTAAGTCCTGAATTGCATTTATTAAAATACTTAGATTTTTGTATGTTTACAATCAATGGAAGCAACAACTTAATTTAATTTTTTATTCCAATTAGATAAATTGAATTGGGATTACATGACTATTATTATACATTATTGGGTACCTTCCATGCTAGCTCAACAAAGGAATAACAAATTTATCTTCCAACAGTTTATTTTACAAAGTATTCTATCAAATATATTGAATAGTAAGAAAATAAAGAGTTTTTGCGGAAGAAAAAGTGTCCAAACCTAAGCAATTTACTTCACATTTTTAAAAAGTACATGCAAGTTTTGGGGAAGGGGGAAATATATGTATCTGCACATAACATGTAGGTACTTGTGCCTATATATCAATAGCACTTAAGACATATACTGCTTCACAGTGCTTTACAGCCCTCTCTAAGTGTCAGCATATTGCCCCCAACAATCTGGGTCCTCATTTTACTGACCTCAGAAGGATCAAAGGCAGAATCAACCGCGAGGATTAAACTGCTAGCATTCTGCAGGATTAGCCTGCAATGCTGCATTCCAGCCACTAGTGGCATCACAGCTGTAATGTACGGTACCTTTCTATCCACAGGCGTTATAGAGGCATTATGAAAATGCCATTAGTTTGAAGTTTGAAGTTTTATTTTACTTATATGCCGCCCTATTCCCTATAGGGACTCAGGGCGGCGAACAACTCAA